GATTTGCAAAAGCAGTGTTTCCTACTTGGGTCTGCGCATTGCATGTGACCGGGCGGCCCGGGGCAGGTGTCCCTGGGTCCTGCCTGCTCGTGTCCGCTGTGGTCTATTCTTAGCCCTTGACACAAGGTGTTGGCCTGGAGAAGGGGGAACTCCTACTGTGGTCCGTCTGCTGCCCTCAGGAGCTTCCATTAATAGCACTCGCAATGTTTGGCTCCAGAACAGAGCTGCCAGCCACCGCAGGAAAGGCACAGGGAGCAAGAAGAAGCAGATGGTGCCTGGGGGGTCAAGTAAGGCAGACAGAACCAGGCGGGCAGGGGAGAAGCTGTGACTGGACCAAGGCAGTGTCTTTTGGTATTTGGCCAATAGCACTAGATGCAGCGTTCTGAGCAAGAAATGAAGCCTTTAGGACAGCTAAGGATGCGCGAGAGCGAGGCTGTGTGGTACAACTGCAAGAGTGAAAGGAAGCATCTCCTTTTCCCAGGGAGGGGCCCAGGGAGAGTCTCTGCGAGGGCAGAGTTGCTTTTTGTCATTTATACTGTTTTGAAGTTGGGACAGGCACACATTCATTTAGGATAATCAGGGACCCTCCTCTTGCAAGCTTAGGGGATTACTACCTGTGATTGGCTGGCCATTGCTATTTCTGTGCTCTGGAGACTGAACTTAGATGAGAGTGGAATGTTGTTTCTATGACAGTGGCCAGTGTGGGGCAAGGAGAAAAGAACATGGACTTAGATCCAGAGGAAGCTCCCGAGGAATTTGTCTGACCCGGGAGGATGCTCACTCCCTACAGGAGGCCTGTGCTGCAGGGTCCTTCACCTGGAAATGCTGGAGAACCAGGGCTGTGGAACGGCTCCCTGCAAAGCTGGCCCAGCTCCCCAGGGGTCTCCCCCATCTCCTCCCCCTTTACCTGTGCATGATCTTTTCCAAGGCTCCCTTGAGCACCTCTAGACCTCCCTAGAAGTTTCCTAGTCCACACAGGGAATGTCATTCAGATCTCGGTGAAAGGGCAATGGGCTCTCTTCCCTTGACACCCTCCAAACTTATATCCCTATCCCCCCAAAGCAAATCTGGTAGTGTTATATATATATATATAATTTTATTTTTTCTAGTTTGGCCAAAAAAAAAAAAAAAAAAAAGAAAGAAAGAAAAAAAAAGTGCCACTCTCTGGCTCATATGAGAGCTAGGTTACTTTCCCATCAAAGAAAGCCAGGAACAGGAGGGTGTAGAAGCCATGGGATACACCCTAGCCTCGCTCGTTTAGCATTGGACACCCTTTCCTCCATGCTAGAGGCCCTGAGCTGCACACTCACATCCTCTGTCCCCAGGCAACTGATAGAGAGCACTTTGCTCAAGTCTGGAAGCATTGAGTCGTCTGTGGGAGGAGTTGCACAGGGAGGGGAAGCACTGTCAATCAGCACATCACAACGTGAGGGGACTGTAGATGTGTGTGAGGAAGAAGAACCTCAACTGTCTGGAGCTGCTCCAGAGAAGGTTGGCATCAGACACCTTTTCCTGGGTTCCTATGACCTCGTGGTGACAGGAGTTGTGAAACTGGAGGAAGAATAGAGAACATGATAAAATTTGACGTTTTTAAAAACCTGAAACTTTTTCTCTTCAGGAATCAGGCTTGTGCCTGTGGCATGAGATGCCACTCCGCCAGTAGAATCACCCTCATGGTCAAACAGGATCTGTTTTTAGCCATCATGGGACTTGGGTGGCTGTTGAGGGGCCACAGGGATTACTGAGAACTGGGTGACTTTGTGCATGGGGAGCTGGGGTGCCGGGATCTCCAGGCCACCAGAAAATGCTGTCTTCCCCCACAGAGGCCAGGTCCCAGCAGTGGCATATGTAAATCAAGAGAGGTGGGACCTGTCCTGTTCTGGATCCCCATCTGCTTAAGGTGTGCATGTTCCCCACAGGCTCCCTGGTTCCTGTCTTTTGGGGACAAGTCTGAACCTGAAGTGCAAGGAGACACCTTCTGGACAGACAGAGCAAAGGAATGTCTGAGAAGAGAAACTCGGGCAAGTGAGAACAGCTGGGGCTGATCTGGTGGACTTGGACTCTCTTCGCTCCCCTCATTGCAAGACACGAAGCTTCTGCTTGGGATGTCACAGGCTGTGACAATGAGCTCAGGGAATATCACACCAAAGTTATCTAAGCAAGTTGAGGTTTCTTTCATGCAGAGGCCCAGGGAGGAGGCAGACCCAGCTGGGCAGGGAGGCGGAGCTAGCACGAATGATGGGGTGACAGGACCTTCTTTCTTAGGACAGAAGGCCAAATATTCTATGCAGTTAAAGGAATGAATATGGGTGTTTGTGGGCATATTTAATGGGGGCAATAAGGACAGAAAGGATATAGCGTATTTTTTTTATAGTTCCTGGTACCAACAGGCTTATTTCATATCAGAGCTAAGTGTTAAGAGTTGATTATTTGTCATCGGGGGTCTTGGGAAAGAAATGGGTCAGATTTCATCTTAAAAACACTGTGGGGGACCCAATGGGAGGCAGCTGGGGCAGAATGGGCTGGACCTTGTCAGCCCATAAAAAGGAGGTCATCACAGACCCAGGCAAGTGGCAAACTAAAAGCAGATTTCTAGGGGACAAGGCCACCATATCTCATGGGATGCAGGGCTCTCTTAAGGATCTGGGCTTTCAGGACCTAAGTCACCCCAGCAGGGAGACTGTCTTCTGGGTGGGCTCAAAGCACAGAATGGGTATGCATTCCCGCAGGAGGCTCAGGGCCAAGAGCCAGCAGCCCTCTGAAGGGGAAGGGTGCTGGGCAGGAGGAGATCCCCGGGGAGTCGATGCATGGATCAAGCAGGAAGCCGTTTTCCTGGGACCGGAAAGGCAGGGACTTGGGGAAGATAACGTGGAGACAGAGGAGAACTCGCGCTGCTCATGGTCTCTGCTTCCCTCGCTCCCTCCGTTCCCCACTCTCTGCTCACTTCTCTTCCTTTTCCTGTCTCAGCACAACTGGCTTCCCCGCTGTGGCCCACAGATGCACATTATTAATTGCATCATGGGGGAAGTATTGGCATGATGGAAGTTTCCGGAGAGGACCTGGGAATGCCATTGCAGGGAGACTCACAGAGCCCCGTCCAATAGAGGCTGAAATCAAGGAAATGTGAAATGTCTGTGGCCTCCTCCTTGGTCCCAGGGCCTAATGCTTCCCTGAGCTGGAAGCTGTCCTCCCAACTTTGGGTGCTCCAGGGCGACATCCCCAGTTTCCTTTCTAAGTTTCGTGTAAACATGAACACGCACACACACACATACACACAAGTGTGCTAAACGCGGAGTGGCAGAAGAGGTGGCAAATCAGACCTATGATGGGGAAATAAAGAGGAAATGTATCCAAGAATAGACAGACAAGCTGAAGTGGCAGAGGTCCCAGGAGGTGTGTGAGGACAGCCCCAGCGACCTGCTCCAGGGGTGCACAGAGCCCCAGACCTGGGGCAGACAAGAGCCGGGACCCAGCCAGCCAAAGGGAATGAGCCTCGCCAATGGCCTCGCCTTCCAGCCTCAGCAGAGTACGCAGTGGGCCTCAGCAGTGAGCAGAATGACAAGGACAGCACCTCTGCCAGGGCCAGGCACCCAGGCAGAGGCGGCCGAGGGCCCGGCCAGTCTTCACCACAGCCTGAGTGTGCCGTCTGTCTTGCTTCCTAGAGTGGGGACCAGGAGGACCCCGGGGGACACTGTGTTAGGGAGGCGTGAGGACACGCTGCAAAGTTAAGCGATAATACATGAGACGGAGGCGGGGCCAACCAAGGAGGGGGCATTTGGTTTCATAATTGATAAATCCATACATATATATATATATGTATATGCATATATATGTACATACAATTTAGATAAACACGGAGGGTGAGAATGAGAAGCCTCTTTTAATCATAATTTTAAAAAGACAACTCCACAAACAAAAAAAAAATCCTCAGTTTTGAACTTCTCTTAAGTATAGTTCAATGTGAGGTCTTGCACCCTAACCAGTTATATCTGGATTTTTAAAAAAATGCAATTACACACAACAAAGACTAACAGTATTTACTTAAAATATTGTGTGTATGTGTGTATATACACACACATATATATATATATACACACACACATGTATATACTTATATATATCTTTTTTGTGAAGATATTTTTCTTTTCCTTTTTTTTTTTTTTTTGTGCCCAAGTAGAGATACAATGGTATTTGAAATGATGCCCCAGAACAGAAATAGTCCTTAAAGGAATAACAGTTCAAAAATAAAAATTGTACAAATGGTTGAACATACTTGCAACACCTCCAGAAATCAACTCAATACAATGAGAAAATCAATAGTTGATTTAAATTCTCACCCAAATAACACGACCTCGAACACCAGCCTTTGCAGCTAGTGGAGGCCACTCTCCAGGGAGGGGCCTCCACACAGGCAGCCTCCTGCCACCCAGCCCTGGCCCCTGGAGCTGCCCCTCCAAAGTCACAACAGCATCTGCCTCACATTAGCTTTGCGTATTTCTGGCAAGACCTTGCAACAGGGACACACACACACATACACACACACACACACACACGTGCTATGGGCACACACACACACACACACAAAACACACAAATTTCCCATGCAACCCAGATGCACCAGGTGAGCTGAATGATTTTCAGCCAACCACAATGACAGAAGCACCAAACAGTCTTTGAAATGGGTCAGTTATTACAATTTGATTTTTTATGTATGTATATATATATATATATGCATATATATACACACACACATATATATATGTTCTAGTTTTCCTCTTTGTGTTATGTTTAAAAAAAAAGAATAGAAAAAGAAAAAAGCACAAATGAAAAATGAATAATTCTTTCCAGATCAGTTTAAGGCTTCCCACTGAATGGAAACAGAAGAGGCCTTACACACTGTCGCATGGGGTGAATGCGCACCGTTCTCAGCCTTAAAGTGATGGAAGAGATCAGTGTTGCCAGTCACGGGTTAAGTATTGTGCCTTTAAGTTGATGTCGTTCTTTTTGCTACTATGCTGAGTTTTATTATTACTGGTTGTTTTTGATGGCGTATATGGAAGTCTCCTCTGATTTGCTTTAGAATTTCTTGACCTTACTACGTTAGTAGGGTGGCTTTTTGTTTTGTTCTGTTTTGCTTTTCACCAGGAAACAAATGCATCTTGCTAGGTGAATGCTAAAATGGCACATAGTCAGCCTTCAAGCAGCTTTTCTAGCCATTTGAGACCCAAACGGCTCTTGGGCTCCTAGAAGGCTCAGTGAAGTGCGGCAGGGACAGGAGAGTAGCGGGAGAAACCAAATGGAGGGAGGGGTTTCTATGCCTTTGCTTTTGGTAAATTTGTTTTCCTCGATACAAATAATCAGATAGATAGGAAGAATGATTGCTTTGTATTGTTGGATTTGTTTGTTTGTTTGTTTCGTTTGTAGATTTGTTTCATTTGATTGTTGAAATTTCTCCTCTCCTGGTGCAAAAGTCACCAGAGAGTTTTGCGTGAGAAAACGTGACAGTACTTAATGAAACTCAGCACCTAAGGGCATAAGGCAGTTGAAGGTTGTTTATTTGTTTGTTTGTTTGTTTTTGTTTTGTTTTGTTTTGTTCTTTCAATCAGCACCAATCCCGGAAATGATCTACACTTGGTGTAAGGTATAAAACTTTTTTTTCTTTTGGAGCAGAGGTCACGCCTCCTCCTGCACCCCAGGAATCATAGTGTGGGATTTTTCAATACTGTTTCTTATGTGTAAAAAACAAAAGAAAGGTTTTCTTTTTGTTTTTACTTACAAAACATAGAGAATATCTTTGTATACATACGGCGACTGGAAAGAAAGCTTATCTGAAGGGGACGTGACTTAATTCTCTGGTGGTGGTGGTGGTGGTGGTGGTGGTGGTGTGTGGTGGTTCTGTGTGTTGGGGGAAGGGAGGGTTATATTTCTTGCAGGCGGCATTGACCGCAGACCAAACTTAAGGTCCCCTTCTCAACTTGGGTCAAGGTGCCCTTAGAGTGAAGACTCGTACTGTAGCAACTCATAGAGGAGTGGCCCGTCCCGATAGCGAATGCCTACTGCCGTGGGTGTGACATACTGTAGGATGTTAATAGTCCTTCTCAGCCTCCTGTCCACAAAGTGAGCATCCCAAGCTGGGTACCTCTTTCTTGGCATGTCAATCTTAATGAGGGGCCCTTCTGGGTGGTAAGGACGCCCCGACGGGGTAGCGGGCCCCATGGGTCTCACTTGGAAAACGGGCAAGCAAGTGTCAGCCGTGAGATCCTCCTGTTGTTCCGTCACGGCTCTGGTGGGCGTGACCTGGGTCCCCCGGTACCCAGGGGTCTGAGGTGCCATGGGCTCAACATCGGGGGGCAAAGGGATGCCCCAGAGCAGCTCGGCACAACAGGAGCTGGCAAAGACCTTAGCCCGTGGCCCCATGGGATGCAGCACGCCATAGTATAAGAGCATCAGTGCGATCCCAGCCACAAAACTCACAAAGACACAACACAGTGCTGGCACCGCGTAGGAGTCAGTGGTCTCCGGGTTTCTGTAAAAATACCAAAGGAACGTCAAGGCAGCATTCTCGGTCAAGACTATCGTATAATATGCAAACATTCGATATCGAGTCCGCCCTTCCTTGACGTTAAACCAGCAGAAAATGTACACAATCCCTACCACCATGTTGAAGAGGATCTCCTCCCACTTGGACATGCAGAAGTCTGTCCCGCCATGGATGATCCAGAAGGCCATGGCGCACCAGTGCACCACCACGAAGATCCCGAAGTAGAGCTGGAAGATGGAAGCAAAGAGGGCAAAAGAGATAACTCGGGATGAGATGGTGAAGAGGCGCCAGAAGAGGTGGACGAGGGCCCCTCTGTAGCTCATGCTCTTCTTGTCGTCCCTGGAGTCCCGCAGCAGCTTGTGATAGGAGGCTAGCACCCAAGCCAGGGACATCAGGGAGGTCACAGAGGAGACACCTGCCGGAAAGACACAAACCCACACAGTCAAAACCTCGACATCAACCGTGGGGCACAGCGGGGCTGCCGGCAGAGGAGACGCCCACACACACCGTGATCTAAAGGAGGAGGGAGAAAGAAACACAGAGTCAGGAACCGGACTTGGAGCCCCCGCTGCTCCCTACGCTGACAGCCTGGGGTCGACCTTTAGTCTCAACAGCCCTGCTTGGAATTTCAGGAGCTCCGCTGCTCAGCTGTGAAGCTGAGAATGGAGCCCTTGGCCACACTTGCCATGCCTGTGTTCTATCTTAGGGGACCCTGTTGTGTGTGAACATGCAGCCAGCACTGGCGAATCTGTCCCCAGCAGCCTGTGCTCTTGGAGGGGTCCACAGAAGAGAGGGCCAGCTGTGGAGACCGATGGCCAACTCCCTGGCCCCAGCTCCTCAAGTGCTCTCCTCTGCAAAGCTGAACTCACCCTTGTGCCCTTTCCTCTCCCAACTCCAGGTTCCACAAAGCCCCTTCCTGAAACTCCGTCCACTTGGCTTCTCCCCATCTACTACCTAGGGCCACCCTGGTCAAGGACGCCGCTCAGCAGTCCCCTCTGCCCTTCCTTCTGGTCTGTCTTGCCTCTGCACATCAACTGCGCTGCACCTCCTACTTCAGGGCAACCTCTGCCCTGGCTGGTGGGGAGGTTCCCAAGGTCTCTGTGCTTCCTGCACTTCCCCCAGGGGACAAAGATTCAGAGAGGTGGAATGTGCCTCACTCCAAGGGGTACTCTGGCTGCCTGCAAAGTTTTACTTCTTACTCTGCCCCCTTGATATTTGCAACTAAGTCAAATGGAAAACTGGCCGCAGCTGCTGGACTCTCAGATTCACCATGAACAAGCGGTCATTAGCACAGTATCATCAAATAATCTCCTCTCAAGCCAGATTCTGTCACCCTCTGTCTCCTCCAGTCCACCTAGTACCTCCTTTTGCCTAAAATTTCAGAACAAAATGCAGTCAGAGACCTGAATGTCCACCCATTGGCAAATCTCCTTACCAAACTTTCTACCCCTACCCCACCCCAGAGCATGACTCCCCGTGACATTCTTCCAGGCTAAAATAAGATACCCGAACATTTTTTTTTTCTTAAAGCCAAAAGAATGAATCCAGGAGCCCTGTACACCCAGAGTCCAATTAAGCTGCTGCAGATCCTCCTCATCCTGCTCTTTCCCTGGGTCCCTGCCCACCTCTCTTCAATGATCCAAACTGCAAAACTCAAAGAAGAATCAAAGTCCTGCCACTGAACAGCCCCATCATAGAAGCCCCCTCCTTCCCTCATCTCACATGGGTGCTCAGGGTCTGACTTGCAGAACACTGTGGTGCAACCCAGCATGTTGGCACAGGCATGGCAAACACCCGGGCAGTCGGCAGTTACAGTGAGCATGTGTGGCTTTTGTAATAACAACCAAGATTCCAAACAAACCGCAGAGATGAGAAATGATGCCAGCTTTTCCACAAAAACCAATCTGGAATATACCTTAGGAGCTGTGATGGTGCTTCCCCCTGCTTCTCTGGAAAGTTCTGAATGTGACACTTACATGTCCCTCCTTGCTGATGGTGCACATAGCGCCTTTCAGCTGCATCTCAGAGGCCATGCATGGCTCCTGGGCTGAGCTTTTGGAGCCCAGCTGTGGTCGTGCTGTCAGATTGGGACAGAGAGCAGGACAGGTCCTCCTGGGCACCCCTGATTTAGGTTGTGGGTTTCTGGAGCAGGGCACACACAGTCACATCTTGGTAGCCTGCACTAGCCTTGTCCCCATACTGGAAAACTCTCAGGAAGTTCCTCTAAAACGTCCTGTGTCCCCACCGCTGTCAGGCCAAGCTCATTTTTTGATGTTAATAGTAATGCATCTGGTAGGAGCTGCTACCCCACGGAAGTGGAACGAGAAGAAGGCATGATTTGGGCTTCCCTCAAATAAAGCAAAATCTATTATTGTCCCTATCGCTTTCCACTCAGGGAAACATGAGTGCTGAACTCATGAAACAAGAAAACCCAGCTGTGCCAGAGCAGGTCTAATGAGGTCCAGTTCTGAACGTGCTTTTCAATAGGGTAGGGTACTGGAGGGGGGCAGCCCTCAGCCTTCGCTGTTCCCTGTGTGTTGACATTAGCCCCATTTGTGCCAAACATACACAGATAGGAACTCAAATGTTCATGGATCACCAGTAGCAGAGCCAAAGACGATTCTTTTCACCTCCCGCCTTCCAGGTCACCCTTGCCAGGCTGGCTCCGTCACCATGGCCTTGAAGACTGCTCTGGGTCTTTACGTGTGGGTCACCGAGCCCATTCCCGCCCCAGCTGGCTTCTGGTGGAGGCTTCTGTTCTCCTCTGCAGAGTACTGACACAAACGGTTCCCAAATGTTGTCATTCCTCACTGCGAAATTACGAGAGGGCTTAGGAAGCAGCACAGGGAAGACTGGGGTGCTGAGCCCTGGGGCCAGCCCCTGCCCAGCCTCTGTCTTACCTGTTCCTGACCTGGTAACATTAGCAGTCGCCCCACAATGTACCCAAGGGAGCTTCCCAAGCCACACACCCGCTGACTCCACAGGAAGCCGAGTATGGGGTTTGGGTCGGCAGTTGGGGCTCCAGGGGGTTCATGCCCACACAGAGCCTGCCCCTCTCTGCCGGCAGCAGGCATCATGTAAGGAGGGGGTTGGCTGAGGGTGGCCCAAACCCTCACCCCAGCCGCTTCCTAATTCACCACCGCACCAAAGAACTTTCCATTCTAACTGTCCATCCCAGGCAGGAGACCAGAAAACCAGAGCCACCCGAGGTCCCCTTCAGAAATTAGGTTTCTCACTCATTGGAAGCTCACCGGAGAGTGGCTTTGCCTCTGGGGGCTCAAGAAGCAGGGATATGGGGGTCAAACTGCCCTGTCTTCTGCCCACCCCAAAGAACTTATCACATGCTATTTGGTCGCTGGACCAAACATCTGTGGCTTGGCTGCTTCTGCATCTTTTCCCTGGGCAAGGCCTGTGGCCTCACCCAAACAGGACCACAAGTGCAAGTGCTCCCTGGAGGCCACCACAGGAGGGTGCCTGGGTAGCCGGCCACCTGGGGGACTCATTGGGGCAGAGCTGGTTGAGAATGGAGGGGCAGCAGGCGGGCTCTGTGCTGTGAAACCCCCCGTGGGTGCCCTGCTGTCCCAGAGAGCACAGGCCCGACCCCCTGAGTAGTCACAGCAGGGTCTTGTCTAGAAGCACCCTGCGGAAGATGAACGGGTGACGGGCCAAACTGCATTGCCCCCAGATGTCTGTGCTGAGGTGCGGAGCCCCAGTACCTCGGCATGTGGAGGTGGGGTCTTTACAAAGTAGTTAAGGTAAAACGAGGTCACACAGGGGCCCTGAGCCAATCTTTCTGGTGTCCTTAGAAGAGGAAGTTTGGACCCACAGAGGCACCAAGGTCATGTAAGCGCAGGGCACGTGAGGACACAGCAAAGGCCACACCGGCGGGGGGAGGGACAACCTCAGGAGAAACCAGCCCCACAGACCCCCTGACCTGGTCTTCAGCTTCCAGAACGGATGTCTGTGGTCCCAGCACCAGGTCGGGGTACTTTCTGGCAGTGGCTCTAGGAAACTGAAGTAGTTCTCTATTTAATTTCATTTTATACATAAAGATAGTTAAGAAAAGAATTCTTAAATTTTAAAAGCTCTTGAATTTAAAATTCTGAAATTTAAAAATTTCAAAATCATACATCTACCAAGAGAGAGAAGCAGGATTTAAAGTTACAGTCCCACTCTGGTGGCCTTGAGAGTGACCACTGTACTAACAGGCCCCTGTGCTTCGTGATTGGCCAGGTGAGGGTAAGAAAGAAAGCCCCCAAGGATCTGAGTCTCACAGGAGTGGCCAGGAAGAGTAGCAGCCAGAGAAATCTGTTGAGAGCTCTTGATTATTGAGCTAAAATCCAAATTTGATTTCTGCCAGGGCTTCCTCAGTAGAGTAACCCGAGAACCACAAAAAAGAGGGAACTTCAACTGAACGGCTGTGATGACTTTCCCGCCATTAAATGATGAGTCCTCTCAGGCCCGCAGTGTGCTCCGTTACACGGGAGGAAGGACAGCTTCTTCCTCTGCAATGGCTCACCAGGAAGATTTCTGTCTTGCCCAAGGTCAACCCAAAAGTCCCTGCATTCTCCCCCACACCACCCAGTCCCCCAGGACGGCCGCGGAGGTCCAGGTGAAATGCCTGGGGCCTGCCACTCACAGTGCCACCACTTGTGCATTTCTAGGACCAGACAGAAAACTGTTCAAGGCATCAAGTTAGGATGTGACAAGCTCTGCACAGTGACCATCACAGTTGACCCTCTCCCTGGTGCAGACCAGCAGCTAGGGCTTATGGCTTGCCCACCAAGCTGACCAAGTCCAACAAGTCAACCGGCGAATTGTTAAGCTGGAGCCTCCTGGGGGACAACTACCCTTGGAAGGCTTAGAGAGAAGGGCTTCAGGCCTCAGTTTCCATAAATGTAGTGACCCTGTGGCCCCCCAAGTGGAGCAAGAGACAGTCATCAGGAAGGTCCAACGTGGTGGTCTCAATGCCACCTTTACAGGTCCCTAGCAGTTGCACCTTTGCCCCTAGAGGAGTAGGGAGAAGCACTGTGATGGTGGGAAGATGGGACTCAAATCCAGCTGCAGCCGATGAGGAGGAAGGGTCAGGACGTGCGAGGCAGAGGAGGGTCAGGGGCGGCAGGGTACCAGGCCATCAGGGCAAGGTGGGAAGGCAGATCTGGCAAGATCAGGACAGGGCCAGGCTGCCATCCAGGGTGGCCCAGCTAGCTGCCCCAACCCATCACCCATTAGCAAATGGGAGCCCTGAGGCTCCTCCAGAGAGGGTCAGGAAGAAAGAGGTGACCAGAGCTCCCTGTGAGAACTTGGCATCTGGTAGAAAGGACACTCTGTGAGCCACGGGCAACTGGCGCACTGAAGATGGCCAGTGAGCTGGCTCTAGGGAGTCCAGGGGCAGCTATGGGGCTGGGTTTGCCG